AGAACAGAACCAGTGCATTATAACAACTCCAACATAGGTTGAGGAGAATAACCCCTGGAAGTTACTTAGCTACTCATGCAGATTAATGCTACATCTACTACATCGAAAGACATCATAGAAGTGTGCATCATAAAATGAAGTTCAAGCTAACAGTCAAGAGATGAGAAAAAAACTTGTGTAGTTTTGAACCACTCCTGAGAGTGAAAGAGTTCACTCATGGAAGTGAGGCAGTGACTGGGATGGCTATTTCTTCAACTTGGCTTCCTTACTAAGTTGTTGTTGTTCCTTCTTCCTTCTTGCCTTCTTCTGGAGTTTTTTTTTTTTTTTTGTGTGTTCTTGGCAACTGAAAGGTGTAGCCAGAGATGTCCATTTCTGAGAGTGCAGCTCCCCTTTTATAGAGCCCTGAAGCCGGTTCTTCAATCAAGAGAGCCTCCCCATGTTTGTGAATTGTTTAATCCTTCCTAGGCCTTGTGTCTGGAATCTAAAATTGACTGGTCTTCTTCTCTTCTTCCAGCAGTGGCAGCAGCAACCTCATTGATCAGTATGGGTGGTTGGAATTTTGGCCAAAGAGACAAGCATGCCTTTGGAATTCAAATGAGAGACACACTCATTAATGTCAATATGCTTTGTGCCTTGGGAGTGCTTTTCCGACCAGCTCAGCAAAATTATATCAGCAGCCCACAATTTGTTCCTTTGGCCTCAATTTTCAGTAATTGTTCAATTAAGTCCTATCCTAATAGGAAACACAAAAACTAGTTAAGTGAAATGCACTAATATTAAGAAATACCCCTAATTTCTTACTAAATTAATAGTTAATTGTGATGCTTTTATGTAACAAATAAACCACCATCATCTAACTCTACGCAAAGTAGATCAAACAGTTCGACTTCTAAAGTAAGGAAAGGATGATTGATCTAGCACCAATAATCCATTTACATATCTTTGTAATGAATTAAAAGAAAGATAAATTTCAGAATCTCTGGAGGATGCCATTTTAGCAAGAAAATCTGCAACCGAATTTGCCTCTCTATATATATGCTGTATACGAAAACCATTGCTTTGCATTGACAAAAACATCTCCTGCAAAAGAAATATGTATCTCCAAGGAAAACCTTTTCCACCCTCTAAAACTTCAGCCAAAGCCTTATTATCAGTCTGAACAATTACATTTAGTAACTGTAATTGTTCACATTTCCATAGCCCAAATAATATACCAAAAACCTCGGCCAAGAAACTATCTCCACCTCCTAGATAGCCACACTCGCCATACACGAAAGCACCTCCTTGACCTCTAATTACAAAACCATACCCAGCCTCTCCCAAACTAGAAGAGCCATCATAATTAAGGACATACTCATTTTCGAATTGTGGCTACCACTTAACCTGCAAAACCCTAGTCCGCACATACCTCCAAAGTGATATATTGAATTCGGCTAAAAATAAATTTTTTTCCAGCTCATTGCTAAGTTTCAAATCATGAATCATAATCAAAATACGCACCTGCTCTTTAATGGAAGTAATAACCCTTGAAACATTTGGATTTTGTCCCTAAAGATCACTTTGTTTCGGCATTTCCAAACTTCCCATAGAATCAATGAAGGAAGCAACTTTCGAAGCACCCCATAGGCAGTTTTGAAATCTCCTCCACTCCACCATCGACTTACCATGGTAGCTAGTGTTGCAATTCCGGTAGTGCGACTATTCAGCAATAATGAAAAATGCCGCCTTATATGCTTGACAAAAGAACAACCAAAAAAGCAATGGTCCACATTATCTCCTCCATTCATACACAACAAGCATAAAGCCCATTTGGCTTAATACTTCAGGGAAAGGAATGAGCTTGTTGCGCAATCTCCAAAGGAAAACCGAGATTCTCAAAGGCAAAATTGAGTTCCAGACATTCTTCGGCCAACTCTCTTTGCACGAAGAGACTCATAAGCCGACTTTACAGTTAATTCTCCTTTTGGAGTGTGCTGCCAAACCAACAAATCATCCTCATCATCCATAAATTCTTGCTCTACCTCAATTAGGAAATTTAAGGCTTCAGGAGTTCTAGCATTTTGTATCAAGGGAAGAATCTCTTGCCTTCTCTGAAAAAATTCTCGTATACTCAATTCCTTTTTTGGCGGCTGCAACCCTATACATCCCAAAGAACCCCAAGAGATGACCAATTATCAAACCAGAAAGATCTATTCTCATTATGAATAAGAACCTTGGTGTGCATTACAGCCCGTGGCTTTATCTTTGAAATTCGGTTCCATGATGTTTTTCTCCTTGCAGCCATAGACAAAGAAGAGATAAACTCACTCCATATGCCTCTTCTATGTTTCAGTTTCCACCAAATTTTAACAGTTAGGGCATCTATAAACCCCTGAAAGCTATGAATTCCCAATCCATTTTCTGAATTCGGAAATGTCATTCTATCCCAAGATCTCCAATGCCTCTTGCTTTCATCATTCGTTCCACTCCAAAAAACCTTTGGCATCTTCTTTCTATATCCCCGAGAATAGACTTTGGAGGTGGAATTGCTGAGAAGACGTGAATTGGAATGGAGGCCAACACATGCTTGATTAGAACCAATCTACCTCCTTGATTAAGCAAATTACTCTTCCAGCTTAGCAGTCTTCTATCAATGCTATCTAAAAGAAACTAAAAAGTTGCTACCCTCCTTCTTCCTTGATAGAGTCGGAAACCAAGATAAACCAGAGGAAAAGACCCTCGCTGAATACCAAGTGCCCGCTAAACTATAGAAACCCTTCTCGAGTCACATCTATCCGAGACTAAGAATGTGCTCTTTTGCCGACTAATTTTCTGTCCTGTAGCACTTTCATAGTCATGGAAGAAGCCATTACGATGGTGCAATGATCTTTTTAACCCTCTGGAAAAAATTATCACATCATCTGCGAAGGCTAAGTGCGACACCCTCAAAAAACCTGATGGTGTTCCATATGCCGCCACTTTTCCCTTCATCTACCAATGATTTGAGTCTTCTTGTCATCGCCTCAGAACATATAATGAATAAGTATGGTGATAGAGGATCACCTTGCTTGATTCCACGCGATGATAGAAAGAAACCAACCGGGGATCCATTGATTAAAATGGAAAACTAAGCTCCGTGCAAATTACTCATGATTAATAGAACAAAATGCATTGGAAATCCAAATTTGAGCAACACCTTTTCCAAAAAAACCTCCACTTCACTCGATCAAATGCCTTCATGATATCAAGTTTGAGTATGAAGTTTCCCCCCCAGCTTTGTGCCCCAAAAATTGACACAAGTCTTGCGCCAAGAGCACATTATCCATTATGTCTCGCCCTTCAAAAAATGCCAATTGCTCTTCTGAAATTATTTTTGGCAGCACCCCCTTTAGTCTCTCTGTAAGAATTTTGGTGAATACTTTATTCAAAAACTTACAAAGACTGATTGGCCTAAAATCCGCAAAATTTGACACCACATTCTTCTTGGGGAGCAAAGTTATCAATGTACTTGCGATCGATCTTGGCATAGGTACCCCTAACATGAACTCTTGACAAGCAATCCACAAGTCATGCAAAATAATGTCCCAACAATGTTTATATAAAGTACCACCAAAACCATCCACCCCCGGAGCGCTATCTTCACTCAAACTGAATACCGCATTCTTCACCTCTTCAATCGAAATTGGGCGCATCAATGTTTCAGCATCATCATTATCAAGTTGCTGAGGGATATGATCCAGGAAAAGAGTTTGCTTAGCTTCCATATTCACATCATCTTCTTCTTCACTAAGGAGTTCTTGGAAGAAAGTAATAGCTTCCTATTCAATTTCAGCCGAATTAACCAGCACCCTTCCATCCATAGCATGTATTTTGAATAAACTTTGTTTCAATCTCCTCTCTTTCAAGGTTGCATGGAAGTATGCTGAGTTAGAGTCACCCTCCTTAATCCACTTCACTTTCATTTTTTGCGACCAGAAATCGTCATGTTCCTTCAACCTTTTGAGGAGCTCCGCCTTAGCTACTTGTAAATTGCATCTATCATGGACATCCCCAGAATTATCATAGAGGTTTTCCAACTCCTGAACTTTGGTTTCAGCCTCTCGCAAATTGCAAAAAAAAAAATCCCCAAATACCTCCTATTTCATTTCCTTAACTTCCCCTTTAAGCGTTTCAGCTTCAAGCAAAATCCTAGCATGCCATAGCTATCAATAGGTTGAGCCCAATTATCTTGCACCAAGCTCTTAAAATCCGATCTCTGCAGCCACATTTTTTGGAAACGAAAAACCTTTGGCTTACTAGCAACGGGAAAGTTGAATAAATAGAGCATCGGGCTATGGTCAGAAGTAGTTCTATTCAAGTTTTCTAGAGAAGAAGTTGGAAAGAGATAATGCCATTTCTTGAGATATCAAAACCCTATCAAGCTTCTTACTTACCCAACCGGTTTGCCTTGTTCCACCCCATGTATACTCCTCTCCAACTGTCGGGATTTCCATCAAGGAGCAGTCGTGTATGCATTCATTAAACTCGGTCATTGCTGAAGGATCTTGGACAGAATGACCCGAATATTCCTCCAAAGCGCGGATAACATTGAAGTCTCCACCTATTAACCATGGATCACCAGAATAAAGCTGCCGAAATGTGCATATTTTGCCACAAAGCTTGTCTTCCGGCCCTTGTGGACTTTGCATATACTGCGGAAAGAAGGAATTTATTTGGAACCGAAACATGTCTTACCTCAAAATGGAGAATTTGCTCATGATTTTCCAATAATGAAAGAGTAAAACTTGGCTTACAAAAGACCCAAATTTTACTTGTAACAAACGAGAAAGCAACCTCAAAACCTAGCTCCCTTCTAATTCCATCAATTTGATCCACTGGTAACATTGGTTCCATAATAAAAAGGAGCTCCACCTTATGCGTATTAATCAACAAAGTCAAACGCCGCTGCGACGCTTGATTTCTTATTCCACGAATGTTCCAGTTAAATGACTAATCATTGGAAAAATTAATGAGGGAAAATCTTACTGTAACCTAGATGACCGACGAGGGGCCATCTCTTTTCGCAACTCCATCATCTCTGCCTTCGTTTTACGAGTTCCTTTTTGCGATTCAGAAACTTCCGCTTGTGTCGCTTCTTGATCGCGAACTCTATCTACATCATTCTCCAGCCAGCAAGCGTGATCACCGTCAACGACATCAAGCCTTTCAGTTTGTTTTCCTATTTCAGCATCATCATGAAACTGTCCAACGGTGAGAGGAGTGTCACTATCAAGACGCTGCAAAGCCTGACTCTCTTCTTCTTGTCGCGACATATCAGAACAGCTCTCATCAAGAAAACCTTCTTGCTGCAAAGTTTCATTCACTTTTTCATGCAGAACTGGTAGCTCCAAATTCAACACTGTGAAATCCATCCTGTCGTCTCTGATTTCCCCATCCTCTTCCTGAATGGTTTCAGGAATTGCAAACATATTCGACGCTGCCACTGGAGGCGCAACCACCGCTGCCACAGTCGCAGGCTGCGAGACTAACTTCTGAGTACTATTTTTTGGCCGTTCTGAATTTTCTTCCAAGGGTACTTTATTCTTTTCCAACTGCTTAGGAGGAGAGTTCTCAATGTCGACTACAATAGCATCCTTCTCTTTTTGGGATAAACCAGATGATGAAGGGTTATCAGAGGACAAAAGCGCAGCCTGCGAGCTAGGGTTTGCATTCTCCTGCAGCAAAACCCTAGGCCTCGACTTTGTCAAGGGCTGCGATGGCTTTGCTTTCTTCTTATCTATTAACTCCCTTGCATCTTTGAATTTCTTGCCATCATGCTCAAGAACAAGAAAATGTTTCTGCCTACAAGCAGAATCCATATGGCCAATTTTCCTGCAATGGTCGCAATAAAATGGGACATATTCATAAGTAAAAGCCTGCTCATATTTCTTGCCTTTCTTCCCAATTTTAATAGTGGCTAGAAAACCTTTTTGTTTTGTAAGATCTACTTCGACACAGAAATGAGCAACGGAGGGCCTTGTTAAATTCAGCGTCGGCGTATCAACTTGTACAGGCTTTCTAATCCCAGTAGCAATGTAGAATAAAATCTGAGGGTTTAAGAATTCAATCGGCAAATCGTGCAACGCTACCCAAATAGGAACTACAGGCTGGTCTTCTTCAAATTTGAAATCAGGCTGCCATTTAAGAATACCCATAGCAAATCCTTTAATGTTCCACGAATTTTGAATCCAACAACGCTGGAAATCATCTTCTCTTTCAAACCAAATAAGAATGTGTCTCAAGTTCATAAGACCAATCTGAAAATCTCCCTGAAACTTACCTTTTCCAATTCTTGTCTAACTTCTTCCATTTTGGGTCTTCCATAAGAGAATTTGCCAACGAGATTCCAACAATGAGGGGCAATGAGTTTTTCATACTCATCATCTTCAAGTTCCAAAACCGGCGAGCCATTCACATATGTCGCTTGTATTGTTGGTTTCAAGCAAACTTTGATTCTCCCGGCTGTTTGAAGAAATTCGCAAAGGTCCGTGACGGTCCAGTGGCATTCGCCACAGAGAGACCACCGGCCATTGGCACCGGCGGCTAAGGTTTCTATGCGCGCGCGAGAGAGAGAGAGAGGAATTTTAGAGAGAAGGTCTTTTTTTGAGGTTATATCAGTAAATAGTATTCATTAAGGATTTGAACCGTAGTTACTACGTAAATAGATATTACTAGATGTAAAAATGAAAAAAGGAAAATAATAATAAATTAAAAATACGGAAAAGACTTTGTCATTTATACCCTTAAACCTTCATAGTGTAGCTATGCCTCACTAAAGACGTTGCCTTCATCTTCTTTTCCTAGAAAAAGGTACGGTCATCAGACTTCTTTCCACCCTTAACTTTCGAAAATTGATGGTGGTTAATTTGTTACACAAAAGCATTACCATTTACTCCGAATTTAGTAAAGAATTAGGGGTGATTCTTAAAATTAGTTCATTTTACTTAACTAGTTTTATGTTTTTGCATAGGAAGGGACATGAGTGAATAAATGCTAAAAAAGGGGGCTTTTGGAACAAAAATGTGGGCTGATGGATTCAAATTTTGTTGAGCTGGTCAAAAACATCTCCAAGACACAAAACACCTAGAAAATAATGAGTGTGTCCCACCTTAGAAACCCAAGGACATGCTTGTCTCCTTGGCCAAGAAACCAACCTCCCAAGCTGATCAATGCGGCGGCTGACACCACTTCTGGAAGGAGAGCAAAAGACCAGTCAATTCCAAGTTCAAGACACAAGGCATTGGGTGAATAAAGAATACACAAGCATGGGGAGGCTCTCTTGGAAGAGGAACCGGCATCAAGGTATATAAAAGGGGAGATGCATTCACAACAGAAGACATCTCTGGCTACCCCTTTCAGTTGCCAAGAACACACAGAAAAACTCCAGACAGAAGGCAAGAAGGAAGGAAGAACAACAACAACTCAGCAGGAAGCAAAGTTGAACAACAGCCATCTCATTCAGTGCCTCATTCCCTTGAGTGAACTCTATCACTCCCAGGAGTGACCCTAAACTGCATAAGCTATCTTCTTCTCTCAACTGTTAGCTTGTATTTCGTGTTATTGATGCATACTTCTATGATGTCTGTTGAAGTAGTAGCAGTAGCATCAACCAGTATGAGTAGCTAAATAGCTTCCAGGGGTTAATCTCCTCAACCTATGTTGTAGTTGTTGTAATGCGCTGGTTTTGTTCTATGTTTTGAAGTTGAAAGTGTTTCTCTATTCAGTTACTTGATCTCTAATTGAATGCATACTAGAACTAGGGAAAATCTGGAAGGATAAACTTGGTTTGGATTATTTCAACCTCAACTTGTGACATAGAGGTAACAATCTATGGTTTTAACTAAGATAGGAATATACTTAGTTGACATGAGCATTCATATAAGCCTGAGATCTTAATGACTTTATAACTGGACTCAATCATTGGAAAATAGATTGTTAAAGTTACAAAGATGACTCTAGGAAAAATGGGAACTGACTTAGAGTTATATCTGAGCTGAGTGAACAAGAACTTAACCATTAAAGTGCAATTTACAACTGCTGCAACAGGAAGAGGAGATGAACACCCCTAGTCTGTACTCCCCTGAGTGAACGTTTTCATTCCCCTGAGTGACACCTTGTCTGAACTGGTAGTCCGTCAACAACAAATTATGTGATTTAGCTGTCCTCGTGGGATCGACCTAGCTTCCATTATCCACAAAAAAAAAATCATAATCCAGCTAGTATTTGTTTTTGGTGAATTCGGCGCACTAGAAAGTGGCGCCGTTGCCGGGGACGGCGTAAAACCTCCATTTTTGTTGTTATTCTTTCAGTAGTGAATAATCCTTCTCTGGTGATTCCCTTGAGCTTCTAATTTCTTTTCTTTCGTGTATGGCTAGAAGGCACCAACAAAGTGAACTAGTTTTTTATCCAGAAATTGAAGCTACTATACGCAGAGCCAGAGCAGCAAAAAGAAAGCAAGATTGGTTGCAACAAAACCGCCAAGAAGGTTCATCAGAAATGACTAACCAAGGTGGTAACCCGGAGAACAATAGGAACCCTAGTGGGGATCGACAAAATCAACCTGAGAGATTGCTCAGAGATATCTTTATTCCACAACAAGAAGAAGTCCAATCTCCATTAGTGTTACCTGATGTGGAGGCAACCAATTTTGAGTTAAAACCACAGATGATCCAATAGACTCAGTCAGCTTGCACATTCCATGGATTACCGCATGAAGATCCTAATGATCATATTAGAAGTTTCTTGCGTTTATGCAGTACCTTTAAGATTCAAGGCTTATCCAATGATGATATTAGATTGAGGTTATTTCCTTTCACTTTGCCGGATCACGCCCAAGCATGGTTCAACACATTACCCAACAATTCTATCTCCACTTGGGAAGAGTTAAGGCAATGTTTCCTTACAAAGTTTTTTCCACCTGCAAACGCTGCACAACTCAGAACTGCAATAATGAATTTCAAGCAGCATGGAACTGAAACACTCTATGAAGCATGGGAAAGATTGAAGGAAATGATCAAGAAATGCCCTCAGCATGGTTTGGAAGAGCATCTCCAACTGAGCATCTTTTACAATGGTTTGCTACCAACCACAAGAGACTCCCTTGATGCTGTGGCTGGTGGTGTGTTCATGATGAAGCCGGTTGATGCGGCAAGGCAGTTGCTTGATAATATGACTACCAATCATTCAAGGTGGCAATCTGATCCAAGAGCAAGTACAAAGCAGCCAGGAGTGATGGAACTTGACCCCAGTACACACTTGCAAGCACAGATGGTTGTCATGATGAATGAGATGACAAAACTGAGGAGTGAGCTGTCCAAATCCAAGGCTGAAGTATGTGTGTTATGTGATGGATCTCACAATTTGGATGACTGTCCCTCCAAAATGGAAGCTGTCCAGTTTGTTAGGTAGGGCAATGCTGGAGGATTCAACAACTTTAACAATTGGGAAAATCAGCAGCACCCCAACTGGAATAATGCACCACAACAAGGAAACTATCAGAGGCCTGCTCAACCCCCAGGATTTCAAAGACAAGATGGCCAACCTCCCAACTATCAGAATCAACAACGTTCTAATCAGCAATACATACCAAGGGAAGATGAATGGATTTCTGTGCAGAATGCAATTAAGAATTTGGTTGCATCTTGCAAAAGTCTGGAAAATCAGCTGACTCAGATCGCAAAACAGAATGCTAAAAGATCATCTAGAAGTCTAACAAGTGATACAATTGTCAATCCCAAGGGAAATGGTCAAGAGCAAGCAAAGGCTATCACTCTCAGAAGTGGAAAACAGCTCACTCAACCAAGTGAAAAAGTCACTCCCACGATTGACCCTGCAAGTAATAATGAAACATCTTCTGAGAAAGAATCTAATGATAATCATTTGGTTGAACAGGGGCAATCAATGGAAAAACCTGGAATGGAGGAAATCAAAATCCCAGCACCAAGTCAAAAGCCACATGATGCAATACTGTCATATCCAGTAAGACAGAAGAAGGCCAGGGTGGATTAAGGGCTCAACAGGTTTATTCAGAATTTGGAAAGCATACATATTAATGTTCCACTTGTTGATACACTTAAACAAATGCTTAAATATTTCAAGTACTTGAAAGATCTGGTGGCTAATAAACCACAAGTGCATGATTCTGCTTTTATTACTCTAAATGAAGAATGCAGTGCAGCTATCCTAAGAAAACTGCCACCTAAACTAAAAGATCCGGGTAGTTTCACTCTTCCTTGCACTGTAGGAATCTGAGAATTTTCAAAAGCATTGCTAGATCTTGGTGCAAGTATAAATCTCATGCCATTGTCTGTATTTAAATCACTTGATCTGGATAAATTTTTGGTACCTACTAACATGACATTGCAGTTGACAGACAAGTCACTGACCTATCCAAAGGGAATTTTACATGATGTTCTTGTGAAGGTTGAGAATTTTGTTTACCCAGCAGACTTTGTGGTTTTGGACATGGAAGAAGACAGGGATGTGCCCATCATCTCGGGGAGACCTTTTCTGGCAACAAGTGATGTAATCATTAAGGTGAAAAAAAGAGAAATCACACTGGACTTTGATGGGGAGAAAGTCACCTTCAACATCTTCAAAAACATGAGATATCCTGCCGAAGTTCATAATTGCTATACGGTGAAAAGTGTAGAAGTGGAAGAAGCAGTGGCAAAAGAAGTGTTACAAGATGAACTCCTCAAGGAACTCTTGTGTCCTGACAGCAGTAAAGAACAGGAAGGGGAGGATGAGTACAGGCTCACTTGCCTGAGTTACTTGAACCACTCCCCCAAGTGGCATCCTAAACAACAACCCTTTGAGTTGTTGGACATAACTAAGGAAGGAAGATGTCTCAAACCTTCAATCGAAGAACCACCTTCTCTAGAACTTAATCCTCTACCTTCACATTTGAAATATGCCTATATTGGAGCAAGTAACACCTTACCAGTGATTATTTCTTCTATGCTTACAGGTACTGAAGAGGATAAGTTGCTAAGGGTGCTGAGGTTGCACAAGGAAGCCATTGAATGGTCAATTACTGACATTAAGGGCATCAGTCCTTCCATATGTATCCACAAGATTCTACTTGAAGATGATGCCAAGCCAACCATTGAAGGACAAAGAAGGCTCAACCCAGTCATGAAAGAAGTGGTAAAAAGGGAAATTATTAAGCTACTAGACACTGGAATCATCTTCCCAATATCTGACAGTAAGTGGGTGAGTCCAGTTCATTACATGCCCAAGAAGGGAGGAATCACAGTAATAAAGAATGATCTTCAGGAGCTAATCCCTACAAGGCTGAACAATGCGTGGAGAGTGTGCATGGACTACAGAGAGCTTAATAAAGCTACCAGAAAAAGACCATTTTCCACTTCCTTTTATTGATC